CTTCTGATCTATCACTTTTTAATCATGGCAATTTAAATTCTCTTTCTGGAAGGCTCAGAAGTTCTTCCAAGTTGCTGTCGTTGCAATCTGGGGAGTGGTTTTCTTTTTGTGGTGTGCTTCTTTCCTGAGGAGTTGTTAGGTTGTGTGTTGTTCTTCTACTCCCTACTGTCTGTTTTCTAATTTGTCGTATGCGTTGGGACACTGTGTTGCTCGGACTGACTGACATCTGGGTGAACTTCTCCGCTCCCCTCTGGCTTTTCCAGGAGCCATCTCTGTCTTCTGGGGGAGCTTTCTGCTGGTTTTAGGCAGTTTTTACTGAAGAAATGTCCCTGTTCTCAAATGGCGAAGCGGGATGCAGTCCTGCGCCTCCGGTTTCAGGCACACTCTTCTGCGCACCCGGTCTGCCCGGACGTGGGTGCCTGCTCCCTCTGTGGGCTCAGACTGCTGGTCGGAAGGGGCCTGGCGTGGAATAACTTCCCGGCTGGCCACTGGGTCCTCCAGAACCTTCTGCCCTTTTCAAGTAGTCTTAAGAAATTTCCTGTTTTATGGGGTGTTAGTGACTTTTTTTTCCTGGTGGCTAGGTGGCGCCAGAGAGATCTCTCCTATTGTCCTTGGGGGGCTGTTTTTCGCCTCCCCCCACCCCGTGGGACAGGGAACAGAGCGGGAATGGTAGGGTACACCTCAACAGCTTTGGGGTGCTGTGTCTGCCTTGTGCCCCACCGTCGTGGAGAACCCACGCCCCGAATTTTCGTGCCCCGGGTCTCAGTTCAAAGCCCTCAGTTCCAGGACGCGGGCTGTAGCCCAGTTCAGTGGCGTGGGAATGGCGCCTTTTGCACCGCTCCCGTGCCTGGGTGCCTGGTCCTGCTTACTCAGGGAGGGACCTTCACCTCAGGAGGACCTCCGCGCGTCTCCCCGCAAGCCTAGGTCGTCTCCCCGCAAGCCTAGGTCGCAGGCGCGGGGACCTGGGCAGCTGCGATCCCGGTCTGCACTTGCTTTTCAAGCGCGCCTAGCGCGCCGCTTTCCGCGCAAGCTTACCGGCAGCCCGGGCTGTGTGCGCGTCTCCTGGGGTCTTTGTTCTTCTCTAATGGCGCCCGGAGCCGTTCGCTCACCACCACGCGAATCCTGCAGGGTTCGCCTCAGCTCCCGTTCACGGGGTGTGGTGGGTGCAATAGTTCCTTTCACTCCAGTCCCGTTGCTGCGTGTTGTTCTTGTTGGCCGTTTTGGTTGTTGTTTTCTCTCCTCTCGGCCGGTCGGAGAGTGCCGCCTCTGTGGGCGGGGGAGGGGAGCAGGGTTCTGCGCTTCCCTCCCTTCTAGTCCTTATGGTAACTTTCTTCTTCAGGTAGTTTGCTGGAGTCGTCCGTTTATCTTCCGTGTCCCAGTTCTCACTGGGACCTGCCACTTTCCTCCCTATTAACTTTTTTTAATGGGAGATCTTACTCGCAGCGTCTCCTCGCCGCCATGTTGCTCCGCCCCCCTGTTTGTTCTATTTTAAAAGGTGGTGCTGGA